CAACAATTACAATCGGTAGCTTTGAGAAGATCTCAAAGGAAAATGAAACATATGATTTAATGATTATATGGTATATCTACAAAAATCAAATTATGATATAGGAATAAAAAGAGACCCCTTATCATTTTTACAAGCCATAAAAAGTAACAATTCTGAAAAATGGTATGATGCAATGAAAGAAGAGTTAAAATCAATAGACTAGAATGGTTTCTAGGAACTCATTGAATAAGCCAATAATTATAAAAATATCGATTGTAAATGGGTCTTTAAGACAAAACGTGACTCAACAAGTAATATCAAACGATATAAAGCCAGACTTGTGGCTAAAGGTTTTTCTAAAAAAGAAGGCATCGACTACTACGAGACTTTTTCTCCGGTTTCTAGAAAGGACTCGTTGAAAATCATCATGGTATTAGTAGCTCATGATCTTGAGTTACATCAAATGGATATAAAAACTATATTTCTAAATAGTAATCTGGATGAGGAAATCTATATGGAATAACTTGAAGGATTCATAGAAAAGGAAAAAGAAAGTTGAGCTTGTAAACTTAAGAAATCCATTTATAACTATAAACAAGCTTTTATACAATGATATATAAAGTTTCATGATACCATTACTTCCTTCGTATTTAAGAAAAATATTGTTGATCAATATATATATCTGAAGGTAAGTGGGAGCAAGTTTATTATATTGGTCTTATATATGGATGATATTTTACTTGCTAGTAGTAATCTTGGTTTATTATACGAAACTAAAATATTTCTCAGTAAGAACTTTAAGATGGTTGATATGAATGAGGTAGCCTATGTTATTAGCATTAAGATATTCGGGGATAGATCTCAAGGATTATTAGAATTGTCTCAAAAAGAGTATATTAATCATATCTTGGAGAGATTTAATATGCAACATTCCTCAACCAATGATACACCTATTACTATAGGTGAAAAATTCAGCCAAAATTAGTGTTCAAAAAATGACTTAGAAAGAAATCAAATGAAGAATATTCCTTATGAGTGCGTAGTTGGAAGTCTATTATATGCTCAAATGTGTACAAGACCATATATCAGTTTTGTAGTTACAATGCTAAGTAGATATCAAAAAAATACAAGAATGAAACATTGGAAAGTTGCAAAGAAAGTATGAGATATTTGTAGGGGACGAAAGATTATATGCTCACATACAGGAGATCAGATCAACTTGAAGTGATGAGATATTCAGATGTTGATTTTGCAAATTACCTCGACAGTAGGAAGTCCACTTCATGATTTGTATTCATATTAGTTGGTGGGGTAATTTCTTAGAAAAGTATAAAATAATTATTTATTATATCATCAATAATGGAAACTGAATTTGTGACATACTTTAAGACTACAAATCAAGCTATATGGTTGTAAAATTTTATCTTGGGACTTGGTGTTGTCGACTTAATTACCAAGCCGCTGAAGATATTTTGTGATAACATTATAGTAGTTTTCTTTTGTAAGAATGACAAGTACTTTAGTGGTTCCAAACACATTGAGTTAAAGTACTTAATGGTTAAAGAAATAGTCCAAAAACAACATGTGTCAATTGAGAACTTAAGCACCACTATGATGATTATTGATCTATTTACTAAAGTTTTACAGTGTAAAAGATTTAAAGAATATGTTCTTAGAATGAGACTTGTGAGCAAACCATAAAAGATATGGTGATGCATGTTTAGGTAGATGCTATTATTGATATTTTTTTTATATAATTAAAGTTATTTATTTCTACTATCCTATTTATATTTATATTTATGCATATTATGGTTGAATGCAATAATAGGATTATCTTAACTAGACAAATTACATAGGTCATTATGGATTATATAAGAAAAGACTAATAATATTGTGGTATATAGAATGAAGTGTGAAATTAATGTTATACAATCGCTATGACTCGTATTGATAGTTAGACTGAATATAGTATTATTGTGCTTATTGGACTTATTGGCTTGTTTTTAAAATTCATGGTCATGTATAAAATGCTTTTCAAATTTTTTTAGAACCCAATTAAGTAAAATTATTTTCAAACAAATTTTATTTTATTTATTTTTATTTTGAATATATTTTATATCTTATCAATTAATGTGTCAAGTGAGAGAATGCTAGATTATGTGGCCTAGATAAAATATATATTAAAACTCATTAGATTCTGATGATAGATATTAGTCAACAGAAAATAAGTTCATATTATAATAGAATTTCTTAGGAGATACCCTTGATGGGAGAAACTCTCATAATAACTTATCATAGACCTTATACTCTCGTCTATAAATAGATATGACTTATATGGACTAAATGATACATGTTATAAAGGATGCAATTGAGAAATTATGGTTTTTCTCTTAACCTCCCTAAATCATTAATAATAGTAGTCCTATGAAAAGATAAGAAGAGAGGAAGAGTGTCTAGTTCTTCTTGCAGATCCGGGAGACAATACCTTTGCAGATCACATAGAGATCTTTTTCAGATGACATTAAAAGGTATGCATTGTAAATTCAATCTAATGTTATTTGATTTTAATCATAGCATAAATTTTTTTTCATATTACGTATAGCATATCACATATTTTATGCTTATAGTAACATCTCAAGTAATAGCTGCATGCCCTAGTTTTAGAATTGTGATTTCACACAAGTTGCTTATAGTCTTTTCAATAAAGTTCAACATTTTGTTTGAAAGAGAAGTATTCCTCGTTTATACTAAAGAATATACAATTATCATTCGTGAAAGGAAATATACTGTCGATTAATTATCATCCATGTATGATAATGTGATAGAGAATAACTATCACATAGTATCCAAAAGAAGAGGAGAAGATGAAGATCACCCCTCCACTCGTATGTCAACATGGACGAAGATCCAAAGCAAGGAATTGCAAGATTTTTTCTTACCCTTTATGATAAAAAAATAATCGGAAGCTTCTTTCTTATCTTTTATGACTAGATATGAATATTCATCTTGAATATTATCTTTATGACCAAATAATATTTTTAAGTGACTAAATATGAATAATCGCAAAGGAGTTAAACTTATCTTTTTGAGTGACCATGTTTGACCATTTACATCCGCACTCACATATATAGAGTCATTAACTTAGGTATCAGATAAATTAGATCTAAAAATCTTTCTTAATCTCGATTTTTGTGTAGAAGACATATTGAGAATTCGATGTTTTCACCTCAGAGGTACCTTAGACAATCCTATCAATATGAGTCCAAACCATGTTGAGCTTACCAAGATGTTAATGATTTTTTTCCCCTAATAAAACAATTGTCTCAGATTTTATTATACTGTTTTTTTTATATATATAAGTTCATAAAGTCTAAAAACTTAGACAATAGGATTATATGGTTTCCTATTGGCATGGGTAATCTCCTAAGGTCCCAAGACTAGAGATCAACACACATTGATCCCGAGACTAAAGATTGGCAGATAAAAGAAAACTAATGAGCAGTGCGCAATATGGCATAAATTTAACTGATGACAAAGAAAAAGAGAAAAAAAAAAGAAAAAGAATAAAGGTGGAACCTCTTTTCAAGGAGCAGTGCGCAATATGGCATAAATTTAACTTCATCGCCAGCCTCCTCGAAGCTGCATGGTTACACCGGATTGTTATGCGGATCTTCGATGAATCAAATTCGTAAAGATAAATTCCAAGAGAAAGAGGTTACTTGGTGGCCGACGTCAGCGACACAAATAATCATCTTCCCCCGACGTCACACAGCAGCAAGAAGGAAGAGAGAGGCATGAAGAGAGGGAGAGAGAGAGAGAGAGAGAGAGAGAGAGAGAGACAATTGCAGTATCTGGTGATTGGAAACAAGTGACTGCATCTCTCGCTCTTTTTCAGAAAAGTATGCTAATTAAGGAAAACATGATGGATCTAAAAGGTGGTGTTAAGTTGACAAGGATGTTTAAATTTGTATAGTCATTCCATTTGTGAAGAAATGAAATGTCTAACTTTTGATAGGAAAGTAAAATAAAGACAATACTTTAAAAGTATTATTTAATTATCTTTTGGTATATTTAGAGAAGGTAAAAAAGCTTCTTTGAGATGGTATTATTTGCTTCGGGCCCAAACCACATAATTATCCTTTCGGTTTTCCGCTGTGAGATTTCACTTTTAGTTTGCACGTCTTCTCCACCCAACAAAAAATTTTTGGCTTAGCTTGAGACCCAATCCGAGCCCGACTTCGTTTGAACTCAGCCTATGCTTCTCCTCCCAACAAAAAATTGGCTTGGCTTGAGACCCAATCCGAGCCCGAGTTCGTTTGAGCTCAGCCTATGCTTCTCCTCCCAACAAAAAAAATGGCTTGGCTTGAGACTCAATCCGAGCCCGATTTCATTTGAGCTCAGCCTA